GAGTTTATTGAAAAAATTGTTACAGAGACAAACCGGTACAAAGAGCAACAATTAGCTACTCTTCATCGGAAGATTTCAAGAAGCCGAAAGTGGGAACCAGTGACCAAAGATGACATTTGGAAATTTCTGGGATTAATAATACTTCAAGGAGTGGTGGGGAAACCCCTGCAGTGATATTGGACAACTAATAAAAAACTTGCCACTCCGTTCTTTGGTACAGTCTTGTCAGAGTACAGATTTTCCCTGATTATGAAATTTTTATACTTCGGAAACAACGAAGAATTTGATGAAACTACTCATCCTTCGCCAAAACTAAAGAAAATTTTGGATTTATCTCAAATGATTATAAAGAATTTCCAATGGAGCTATGTGCCAGAAAGAGATATCAGCATAGATGAAAGTCTAATGGCCTACAAGGGAAGGCTCAGCTAGGTACAATACATTGCATCAAAGAGAGCACAATTTGGCATAAAATCCTATATGCTATGCGAATCGTCAACTGACTGCATTTGGAATTCAGTCATTAATTCAATCCAAAATACAGCAAGTATGGAATGGCAACATCTTTCACTCATTGAGGCATTGCTAAAGCAGGGCAATTGCGTAACAACCGGCAACTTTTATACGTCTCTTGAACTTTGAGTTTCTTCTGCAAAACAAGACAGATGCCTATGAAACCGCTAGGGCTCTCCGGCGCGACATGCCGCCAATGTTTGGCAATAAGAAGCTGGAGAAATGATTGCCTGGCAAAAAGGCAAAGTGATGGCACTGCAATGGCGTGACAAGAAAGATGTGTGCCTAATAAGTACAGTTCATAATACCTCCACTGTTATGGTACGCACGAAAGGTGGGAAAGAAATCATGAAGCCACAAGTAGTGATAGACTACAATAACACCATGGGAGGTGTCGATAGAGCCGTCCAAGCAATGACATTCTACTCAGTAATGAGGAAACAGCAAAAGAAGTATTACAAGAAGATCTTCAGGTATATTTTTGAGCAATGCTTGTAAAATGCCTACATTCTGTTAAAAAAAAACGAGTGACAAGCCTGTGATTCTTTCTGACTTCATTTGAAAAGTTGCCGAACGTATCTTTGTGAACCACCAAACACTATCAATGGCTGTGAATAGAGCTGGACGTCGTGCTGTTGGCATTGCCAACCTGGAACGCCTGACTGGTCATCACTTCATGGACCACATCCCACCAATCAAGAAAAAGTTAGCACCTACAAGGATGTGCATGGTTTGTTGCTTTGAAGTGAGATGACAGTGGAAGAAAATCAGAAAGGAAACCAGGTTCCATTGTCCTGATTGCCATGTCGGACTTTGTGCAGCCCCATGTTTCAAATTTTTTTTATACCCGGGATATTTACTAAACCAATATGCAGTATCTAGTATTACAGTATACAAATAGGGGATAATCTGCTAACTCAATGACAAGAACAGTACATAGCGCATAACTGTATATATGAGTAAACCAAGTATAAAATTCACAAATGGCCACTCACACTCTCGCTGGAATTAGAAAGCCTTTAGAATAAATCCCCTTTTCAGCATGAACGCCTTTTCAGAATCAATTCTTCCATCTCTATTCAATATCTCATGGATTGGCTGAAAGGTGTGTGCTCAAGAAAAAAATGCAATAAAATTGTAGTGCACATTTAAAAATGTAGTAAAACTAAATTTAATAACTTACATCAAGGTATAAAACAATGGATGTAATCTCACTGTCACCACCAGGGGTCCTACGCGTTTCGTCCGTGTATAGGACTTCCTCAGGGACTTCAGTGACAAGCAATGACAGAATACAAATAAACAATAAAAATCCCTTCCCTCCTCCACCCTTTATACCTCCCCCAATGTCCACATAACAATTTATTCAATTCAGGTGTTTCAATTTTTGGTACGGCATCTATGATGGCATCCTGTGCGCCCTTTGAGAGGTTAAAGGAATAATTTAGACGCCAAAATAACTTAAGCTTAGTGAAGCAGTTTTAGTGTATAGATCTTTTAGGAGTTAAATCACTTTTGTTTCTGTGTATGCAGACCTAGCAAAACCTCCCCTGGCTGAGACTGCATGAAAAAAAAAATGGTTTTAGATGATCTTACTTAAGATGTTTTAACTCCTGCTCTCCCAATTGAACTTAAATGAAACAATCATTTCAACCTGGCAGATAAGAAGGGGTCCGGTCAGGGCGACCCTGAGGTCACATGTTTACTGGGAGGTCCTCAGTGCATGGGCCACCCGATAGACCTTCACCATGCGGTTCCCAAACTACATGCAGCTTCACCGGTAGGACCTCCATTACAGAATTTGTTTTGCACCCCTTCCATGGGGACTGGATTGTACCCCTGGGGGTACATGTACCACATGTTGGGAACTACTGGTCTATATCACTCTAAAACTGTATTCCCAATATATAATCTAAGCTGTAACATACATATTTGTAGATACTAACAATGTCACAAGCCTTCCTACACATGCGACCCATTACTCCCTCCACTTTTTCCCTGGCTTTCTAGTTCTTTCTTTGTCTGTACTACACATATTGGTTGCACAGTAATTAAAATTATGTAAATATCACAGTTTCATGTTCTATATCGCAATGTTGACTCATGAAGGGGGGCTCATGATGAGAAATGGATACATGTATACACCAATAGAACTCCACCAGCACACAAAGTAGTATGTATACACTGTGGTTTATGTTCAGGTCCCAATATTCTCTTACTTAATACATTTTTAAAAAGTGACGTATTTGAAATTCGCGACCATACGGGCCCAGCACACAGGTTACACAAATGGCATGTACGATGTAGTTTATAATCAAGTTGCATGTTATGTATATTAATCGTTATGACACTATTGCAATACTATGTAACCATCCTATTTGTCACGCAAAAATAAAGAATTTAAGAATAGATTTCACAAGAAGAAGTAAGCCAAATCTACTCCTGAGCTATGCATTCTTAAAAGTTGGACAACAGCGAAATAAAAATAGGGAGCTGTCTGAAGCTTCTAAAAAAACATTTATAGCAAAGCGTTAATGTAAAACGTATACACTAACGGATCTCCTGCACTCCGACTGAGTATTATTGTTATCAGATGGACTTGATAACTTTCGCAGCCCGTCGCTGTCTCCCTAATGAATGAACTTTAATCTCGCGACCAGTGGATTCAATACTATTCGAATCCTATCAAAGTATTCAAAGATGAGAGTATAGCACTTTCCCCCCCCAAACATTACCAGATGTTTCATGGGGGTTAAACAGAACACCCTTTATCGAACACACATATTTATAGTCCTCAGATGTGCAGCATGAGGAGCCGCACCGGTGACTCTGGGCACAGGGATCCGGCGCCCCATGCTAAGGTGCGCCCTAGGCGGCTGCCTAGGTCGCCTTATAGGTAGCGCCGGCCCTGCTGTCACTGGAGGTGTCCCTAGAGAGCAATGTAAACACTGCATTTACATTAAGCTGTTTCTCTTCTGGTGACTATAGTGTTCTTTTATTGAAATGGGCATTTGTCACAGGTCTTAAATTGCCTTTTGGTGTAGAACTGATCCCAGTTTTTTTATGACACTATATTAGCTTACTTCATCACCAAGGAAGGTGTGGTAATGGTATAAAGCTCATCCATTGACTTAGTATTTTGCATGTACAATAGCTATAAATTATTGTCTGTGTAACGGATCGCCTGGCACCCCGACTGGGTACCTCCGTTGAAGGATGCTCCTAGCGCTTCCTGAGGACTCCAAGCACTCTGGCAGACACCACAATCACCGAACCGGAGAAACAAATAAATTCTCCCAAGCATATGAATGCTGTAGACAGTTGAATAGGAAACCATACGAATAGGTTTACTCTCCTAGCAGTCAAACTGGAACAGCATACAATAAATCCTTCCCCCAATAATGAGACGACACTTCACTTTGAGGGTTAAACAGGAACTCCTGTACTGTCACATACAGTCTCTTTTATTCCCAATCCACAAACATAGTACAGCCACACAGGGCATTACAAAACAACCAATCACATCACAGTTACATCCCACATATTCCCTCCCCTTATCCTGAGAGGAAACTCAATTATACATACAGTTAAAACATACTTTCTACCCAACTTTCATAACTCCAAAACCATACATCACATTCACATAAAATTACATATTCACAATCAATCCATTCAGGGGAACAACATATTCAAAAATGGCACAAATCAGACAAGGGGTTCAAAAGTTAGTAAAAGTCCTTTGTGACTAAATGAAGCATGGCTTTCTGGCCCAAACCAGTTTCAGAGTCTTCTATCCTGGAGCTAAGTAATTCAATTATCTCCCAGGACAGACACAAGACTCCATTAAGCACATGGTTGCAAAAAGACACAAAACACTTTAAAATACATAAAGTCACATTTTACACATAACACACAGACATTTCACATATCCCCAGATAGCTCAGGTCTGAGCGCACATTATTAAGTGAATGGCGCTCGGACCACACAAATACAGTTTAATCGCCATGGAGCCAGTCTTTACAGTCAGTTTCATACGAATGGGCTCCATGGGATTCCTATCTGGGGTATAACACATTCACATAAAGTCTGGTCCATAGTCCAAAGGCAAGAGGCGGGCAAGCAGCCCCCTCCAAGGACACGTGGCGAGGCCGGTTTCGCCACAGTCTGAATAGCTAATTTTGCATCAAAATCTTCATCAGAACCTTTTTTTTGTTTTTTTTGTATAACAGCCCATTAACAACACTCTTTAAGACACTTACACTTACATCTTTTTTAGTCCATGGAAACCAACTTCTTCTGGTGGGACTACATGGTGGTAGGAAGAATTCTCATTCTGATGATTGGCCGTGGAGGGAACCAGAAGTTGGTTGAAGATGTATGCAGACACGTATGTCGAGCCGTCACCTGAGTAAGCCTTGGTGCCTTCAACCAAATCATTCACAAGAAGTTAAAAAAAAAAAGTGAGAAGATTCATCTTCATTTCACCCAGCAAACGTTCAGAGACCTTCCATCATCCACCAAATCATGCCATCAAGTTGCAGAGACATCGTACCCAATAGCTGTATGCATTTGGATTTGGATTTCGTAGAGATTAGCCCCTCCTGTCTGGGGGAAAAATAATGACATATTATAAGAAATTGTCTTTTGGGGTTTGGGACTATTTAATTCAATCACACACGAATCATATTGGCTAAAGAACACTCAGAAAAATGTGTTTATATTTAAATTGCAGAGACATCGTACACAATAGCCTTCTGCGCTAAAACATTTTTTTTTTTTTTAATAAACATTTAATTTGGAGAAAAAAAACAAGGATTCACAGCCTTGCCATGAAAGGATCTGGGAGCTGGTGGGAGATAAAAGAAGACACATATGTACAACTAGGTAAGAGTTTGAACATTTTACATTAACTCAGAGCCAGTGCTGAGGGACCTCAGTGCTGGAATAAGGTAAGTGTTTATAGGGTTATTTAACCTTTTCATTGCCGCAAGGGCGGGCTGCGGGGGCCGAGGTGGCATTATAGTGTTAGGAATAAAGCTTTGTCTTCCTAACACTATTGTGTTCCTTTAAGATTCAGCAATGCAAATAAAACATACAAGTAAATGAGACCTTGAGAAATAGAAACATGTTTTGCTTTGTCAGAAGAATGGGAGTTGGATATAATTATTTAAAAAACAAAACAAAACATTTTTGTTATCCAAACGGTTTATTTTCATTATGGGTGTGTCTTACAGTGTGAATTTCTTACTTCATTATAGAAGTAAGTGTGACTTTGTACTGTTTGTTTATACCTCAGCCAATGTACCTTCAGGTGTCCTTCAAGAAGCCCAAGTCCATTTGTTTGAGGATAAACATTGCAATGGCCCAAAATGTAAAAAAAAAAAAAAAAAACATGTTAGCATTGATTAGGACTATTGAGATTTTGATTTTTCCTGATGGGAGTGAAAGGGAGGACTTTGCCTTTTGTATCTAACTGTATGATATGAATTCAACTTTTTCCTCTCCCCCTGATTAATGGTTGTCTGGATTAGCTGTTGAGGCAATTGGGCATGTTGAGAGCTTGGAACTTTGTAGGAAATTGCCCCATCTGAGGATAAATCTCAGACATGCTCAGTCTGCTCCTAGAAAGGTTTTCTAACATCACCCATTTACTTTTCTCTGGGATGTCTGAGCCTGTACACCATAGAAGAAAGGTATGACTACCATCAGGAGATCATGATAACAGTATAGACATGAAATAAAGCAAGCAGTGTACTCCACTCCCAACAACAGCCTTTTGTGAAAGAGTGACTAGTGTGGTTCCCTTCAACTTTGAGTATCCTAGGAGAAATCTAATTGCCATTATGGAGTCAAGAAGGACTTTTCCCCTTTTTGTGAGATAATTAGCTTCAAATATTTTTATTTTTTATGCTTTCTTTTGGATCAACAGGACTTGAGCCTTTTTAATCTAGTTTACTATGTAAGACTATTTAAGAAAATGGTCATATTCACTGTTCATTAACTTAATTTAAGTATGTAATACTAGAAAGTCAGACAGCCTAAGTCAAAGTCTTTGTAATGACATCTCGAAATGAATCCAAGTGTTCTCTTGGTCCCTAGCTTCTCGGGTGGGGGGGGAGAGGGGGGGACATTTGCCCTGGTACTCCCCTCTTGGTTCCACCACCGGTAGCAGCTTGTGGGGCTGGCCACAGGCGCATGGTGTGATGGCTGACTTCATCTGGGCTGCTTCTGCGCTCCCTGTCCACTAAGTACCAGGGCAGGGTAGGTGGGGGCCATCAGAGCGAGGCTAATCCTGGTCTGGGTCTGCTGCTGGAGGCTGCAGTGTGGTTACATGGATGGTGAGATTGATGGGGTGATAGCTCATGCTGTGGCTCGTGAGACAGAGAAAGGCTTAAGTAGATGCTTAGCCTAGCGATGGTAGGAGGAAATGGGTTGTCTGATAGTGGGGGGAGTGGGGCTAGTTCATAATGGTGTCGTAAGATAATTTACTGCAAACCAATTAGTTTGAATGACTATCTGTTCCTGTCCAAATTAAAGATAATAAAGTTGCGTGCACGCAGAAGTAAATTCACACTGAGACACAAAGTTCAGGTTAATGAAAGAACTCCGGAGAAGTTTAATGGCTTCTGACAGAAAATGGGTGCGCAGACCCTTATAAAGGCATTATTACATCATTGAAGAAAATCAAGATATAGACAAATAGACATTGTTAATTGGCTTAGGTGCTAAGATGTTAGTAAAATGCCCTCCCCATTCTTAGGTCACTATCCACGTCATTTCTTAACTCCTACAGGTTTTAGCGCCATTTTGCTAACATGAGGAGCTCACTCGACGGGAGGGGCCTTTTGGCAGCTATCCATTTAGAGCGTAGCTGGCACTTGTTAGTTTCTCAAGGTTAAGTTTCAAGGATTTTAGTAAATACACATTTTATCAAAGCTATTTCTTGCTGACATGCAAATTCTATGTTCTATAGACAAAGCTTCCTTGTAAAACTATGGGGGCCTCTTAGAGGTATAGCAAGAGGATTTAAAGGGGCCTTACAGATTTATAGAGGCCTAATAATTCTACAACAGTCCCCCCTAAAATGTTATTTGCTAAAAGACAAAACTTTATTTGTTAGTATCAGAAGAAGTATTAGCCCAAAGACACAGAAACCCCATGACCGCTGACTTAGTGTTAATGCAAAGTGCAAGTCTATCCCTCTCTTGACCCTAACAGGCTGCAGCACATCCGTCAGTACGGTTCAGGAACACTCTTCACTCCGCTGGTAACCCATAGTGGCTTATCCACTACTTCTCCGTACGGCAGTCTACCCATAAAGACGGACGCTGTCCCTGTACTGTCCCTTCCTAGACTTTCTGCACTTCATCAGTATAAGGGAGAGTTTGTAGCGGAGAGTTTGAGGTCTTGATCATCGATTGTCAGATGAGTGAAGGTTGGTGTTGCTTGGTCTACAGTTTTCTGCAGGAATTTCCTTAGGCATGGGAGGACACAACAAATGAGAAGAGCGAGAATAAAAAGAAAAATTAGTAAGGCAATACCAATCTGGACTAAAGCTCTCTGCCAACCAGTCATCCAACCAAACCATTTTTCCCAGGGATCAGTAACACCAGAGTTTCTCTTTAACTCTTCTGAGAGTCTATTTAATTTAGCTATGGCCAGAGTGACTTTACCATTAGGACCTGTGTTTTCTGGAATGTAAGTGCAACAAGTCATAAGATCATGTCTAAGGCCAGTCTGTTCTGGAAGGTCATTTGGGATGTGGCCTGTAATTGCTCGGCCAAGCCCTGGAGGGCATCCCTGGTGTAGTTCACGAAGCGCTGTTGGTTGTAATAGATATAATTAATCCAATTAAGGTTTTTGTTGGCAGTGACTATGGTAAAAAGTGATTCAAAACCTGCAGCTACTTCATCTCTAGCTTTAAATTCATTAGGTACCCCCCTAGGCACCCCAATGGCATCTATGTAAATGTGGGGGTCAAAACTGCCTTTTACTGGGGTTTCGCGCCTTACTCTGGCTGATGTATGTGGAGGGTCGTATGTGTCATGATGATTATCAGAAATAATATGAATGGGCATGATAACTTTGGCTAGGGTACACTCACCCCACCACTCAGTTTCCAGCCTAGATCTTAACTGTAGATCCCCACATAACCAGTAAATATCCCCCAATGACCTGGTATGGTGTTGCAACAGGCGTATAGGAACAGTTCTGTAAGTGGCGCAATAACCTTTAGAAAAATTACCCATGAATTTACCAATCCCGTCATACATGGCATAACAAGTGTAATTACCTCTATAGACTGTGATTCCATCTGGTGGCTTAACATTTTCAACTAAGAGAGGGTATTCTGCCGTCCATGCCATGCAGAGGGACCTATTAAAGTCATATTGGTAGGCAAAAAGGCTTAAGAAGCAATCTTCTATCTCTAAAGGGAGAATTAGGGGGACGGTGCCAAGGTGGGGTCGGGCACCGCCACATACATAACATGCTGTTTTATTATGTTTGTTGGCATTATACCTCATCCATTCCAACCACAAATTAATGTCATTGAATCCAGTTTCAGCGGCCATGGTATCTTCAAAAGTGGGGTTAGCGATGGCCATCATATCTTTAAAGGACTGGATATGTGGTTTTAGCGGATTTGGGACCATATGATCAGCCCCTTGCCACTCTGGAGAGTGGTACATATCTCTGAGGTAGAAATGACCTAATTTGTTGTAGGAACCTTTCTTCCAATACATTCCCATTACATATCGGTCTGCATCCTCGGGGCCAGGATGTTCAATATTTAACATTAATTTCATAGGGGTACTTCCTCCAGGCTTTCTTAAAGTCATTCTTTGAAGGAGGGATCTACCCTGATTGTCTATCTTAGATAAAGCACTTTTGGGTTTATAACCCCAGGCAGGCCCAGTATTCCATCCCGCAGCCCCCCAGTAGTTACAGTCATAACCCCATTGTTCATCTACTACACAAACGTAAGGGTCTTTTGCTTGTGGTATATCTTTATAAATGGCTTGAATCTGTGACTTAGGGAATGGGCACTCTACAATATCACAGTAATCAAAAGTGAATGTAGCCACATGGGTACATGATGAATTATACCAGAAAGTGTACCCACTAGCATCTTTGGTGATGGCCACCTGCTGGGCTTTAAGGAGGCCAACTAAGGAGATAATGTACCAGAGGCACATGGTTGCATAGAGTTAGCTTCCTCTGGGGCAGGTGTCTTCTTGCAGTGGGAAGCGTGGATCCAGTTAGGCCTTCCGGCCAATTTGACAGAGGTAGGGGAGATCAGGAGAACTTGGAACGGTCCGTCAAATCTCGGTTCCAGGGTGTGTTTTCGCACAAATTTCTTGACCAGAACCCAGTCACCGGGGAGCAGACTGTGGTTGCCTGTGTCAGAATCAGGATCACTGCTTTGTGGGTGATAAGGTGTGTGGAAGGCAAGGGTCACTCCTAGGGTGGCCCAAATCTCTTTGGTTACTGATGCTGTGAAAGCTGGGCCTTGGTCACTTTCAATGACTTCTGGTAATCCAAACCTACATACAATTTCTGTAAGTAGCCGTCTTGCTGTTGTTTTTGCGGTGATGTTAACCACTGGGTAGGCTTCTGGCCAGCCTGAGAACATGTCTACTATTACTAGTGCATATTCGAAGTTGCCACTCTTTGGCATCTGGATGTGGTCTATCTGAATTCTTTGAAACGGGTACATGGGCTTGGCCAAATGTTTTGGAGGGACTTTAGTCATTTTCCCCGGATTGCACTTGGCGCAGATGACACACGTCTTGCAGTAATTGCTGGCTAGCGTGGTAATTCCAGGGGCCTCATAGTACTTCTGTACAAGGGCAATCATCAAATCTTTTGATAGGTGTGCAGGGCCATGTGCCCACTGAACAACTGCTGGGTATAGATTCTTAGGAAGGCAGAATCTGAGATTGTTGTAATACACTCCATCTCTTAGAACTGCCCCTTTCTGTTTCCACTTCTGTATTTCTTCAGGGGCAACTGTAGCCTGTTGTTCCCGCAGGATTTTCAGGTCAGTTGGAAGAGTCTGCAGAGTAAATATGGGAGTTTCTTCATTTCCGGACACTCTTCTTTCCACTTCCTGTGGTTCTCTTGCAGCTTGTTTTGCAGCCTGATCAGCTAGATGGTTGCCCTTTGCTTCATCTGAGTCCAACTTCCCATGTGCTTTTATCTTTGAAATAGCCACTTCTTCTGGGAGTAGGAGGGCGTCCATCAGCTCCTTGATTGCGGAACCGTGCTTGATTGGTGTACCGGCGGTGGTAAGAAATCCTCTTGTTTTCCAAATTAATCCGAAGTCGTGAGCCACGCCCAGTGCATATCTTGAATCCGTGTAGATATTGGCGCGCTTTCCTTCAGAGATCTTGCATGCTGAAGTCAGGGCTTGCAATTCAGCTTCTTGTGCAGACATAGTTGATGGTAAAGATGATGATTTGACAATTTCATCTGTTGTGGTTACGGCATATCCTGTATGGTATCTTCCTTCTTCATCAGCATATCTTGAGCCGTCCACAAACAGGGTGAGATCGGGATCTACCAATGGGTCTTCATGCACAGTTGGTAGATGTGTTGTTTCCATTTTCATCTGTTCAAAACAGTCATGAGGTGTATCTGGGTCGTAGTCATTCACTATGGTTAAATCTTGGAACTCATTCTCCAGGAAATGACGCGGCCATGCTTTTAGGTGGTCAGTTGTTGGATATTTGACAACACCATTTTCCTGTAGCTGTGATTCGTCCATAGTGGCCCATGCTTTTGCCATAGGCCCAAGATCATTCCATGATATTGTTTTCAACTTGGTCACAGGGACATGTGGAATGGCAGTGTCCCAATGACGGTACAAATGCTTGAGTTCCGGAGGTAGATGAATCAAGACCATACTGTTGCCTTCAGAATCACAGTAGAAGTCTTGTGCAGTGAGTTTTACTTCGACCAGATGATAGAGTTCATCTTCATAGCAGGGTTCAGGAGTGATGTTTGATTTGTACCACATGGTACAGAAGGCATATCCTGCTCCGTCATGAAGGAGTGCTTGTCCATCATGAAAGGATAGGTTGGGATGCATTTCCTTCTTGATGGTGCCAGTGAGAAGAAAAACATAAGTTTCGTCCATGATGAATCCGTAGTATACACCCCCCTCAGGGAGTGGCAGAAGAGTGGACGGATTGAGAACTTGACATCTTTGGAGGGTAATGTTGTCAGGCAACAAAAGATGACATTGAAGGCGAAGATGCCTAGCAGGAGTAACATGCTTAAGTTGGACCTGGTTGACTATGGCAGAAATGTCATGGGGGGCCAAGACAACCAGGGGGTGGCCAAGGACAAGATCTCCAGTTCTTTCAATGAGCTCTCTGGCAGCAAAGACGGCCCGAAGGCAAGAGGGACGTCCTCTGGCCACAATATCCAGTTGGCAGGAGAAAAATCCAATAGGCCTTTGGCGGCCTCCAGGACCATGGGCCTGAGTGAGTACTCCTGTTGCATAGCCTTGTCTTTCGGAAACAAACAGTTTGAAGGGTTTGGTATAGTCTGGTAGGCCAAGAGCAGGAGCAGAAGCAATAGCACTTTTAAGTTGTCAAGGGCTTCTGTGGACAAGCAAAATGGGTCTGACTTGAGAGCATCATAAAGAGGTTGCATAAGGAGCGAGGCTTCTGGGATCCATGCTCGGCAATAGGAAATGAGGCCTAGGAAGGCGTGTAGTGACTTTGAGGTCCTTGGAGGTGGAATGTCCAGTACTGCTCTAACTCGGCCACGAGTGAGATGTCTGGTTCCCTGAGACAGACAATGGCCAAGGAAGATAACAGTAGATTGGCAATATTGCAGCTTGGGACGTGAAGCTTTACATCCTTGTTCTGCTAGGTAGCAAAGAAGATTAATTGAGCATTGTTCTGTTGTGGGTAGATCATCTCCACAGTAAAATGGGAAGGGAACAAAGAACTGTAGTGTCTTTTCGTGGCAAAGGCGTATTTAATGGAACCTGACCGTCTGCAGTGAGGGTGATGGATGCTTGGAGGCAGGATAGGACATCAGCACCAACACAAGAGACATCGGTGTCAGGCAGGAACGATGAGTCAGGCAGGTCTTGTTCTCTAGGAACACTGCGGGATGCACCTGTGTTAACCAGGAAACCAGGAAAGCAGTAGGGTGACCTTCAATAGGTAAAGTTACAGTGGCTAGTGGCCCCCCTTGTTCCCTGTAGACACTGCCATGGCAGGGGCATTAAGCATCAGCGGGTTTGCTCTCCTCTGTATGGGCTGTGTTACTGACTCAAACCCCTTTCTATGTCATTAGCCATAGCTTTTTGCAGTCTGAACATGTCTATCATTATAAATAATGGTTAATAGTAAGTTAAGTAAAGTTCCTATATGTCTTTGGATAAAACATTAACTATTGCGGTACTATCATTTATATCAATTAGACTACAACAATTATACCACCCTGTAACTAAAATGAATAACCAGTAGTGGCTGGGTTAATAAAACATGTCACAAACCCTTCTAATGCTAAACCATCATTTAACGTAAAGGATGTTACTGTAAACATACGATCTGTGACTAGCAAGATTCGATTAAGTAAAGATACAATGTTTAAAATAACTTGCATTATTTAGCTATTTCCCTTGTTGTAAGATGAAGCTGGATAATCAGCTGTTATGCTCTTATATTCGTGTCCAACAGATCTCATTTGTAGGTCACACCACAGTTGCAAATTACATTTTAGCAACCTTCTTTTTTTTTTTTTTTTATATCACGGACAAATTGCTGATACAGGGAAACAAATGGCATGATTGTTTTAGTAATTATAATGTTTCAGTTCATAATATGTAGAGTGTAAGGAAAACAACATGTCTCTAAATGGGACGAGCATAATAGGGGTAGGCCTCATGATGGAGGCAGCCATGACAGGGGCGGGGAAGGAAATGACAGCAAGGGAGGAAGTGAGAGGGGTGACGTCCATGATATGTGTGGGAAAGGAAGACAGGAGGTGTGGGCATGGTAAGGGCGGAAGTGACGTCACTTTAGAAGCAACTGTGACTGTAGATAGGTCACGGGACTGGCAGGGTCAACCTCCTTCTGTACTAGGCACCATCTTTAGGGTGGTGACTGACGCACTTTCAACAATACACTATATTATAACTATTAAAATAAGTCAGATAAGCAACATTCCGTTCTGCAAAATGAAATACTAAACTATGAACAGACCTGGCAGGTTAAATAAGACAGTTGAGAACATTATGCATTTAACAGCCCATACAGCTGTTTCTAGAAACATGTACTTTAAAATAACTTTAAAATAATAAAATGATGCAAAATAAACTCACGGAATTCAACCAATTTCCCTTATCATCCTCTAGCCATTAATCACTTTCCTCCTCTTATACTGACTTAACAACATCGCATATTCCCTCTACACCTTCCTAAATCCCGTATTCAACACTGAATGCAATCTTGTGAGCCCGTCACTCCCACAATCCTCAGTACCTTATACTCAAAACATAATTTATAAATATATAGCACTACGGAATCTGTTGACGCCATCTAAATGGCAACAATAATAATATTATTACACAATTATAGCTCCATAACCTGCCTGACAACGTCTGTGTATGGAACAATGTACACAATACTACACAATTAGAATATTTTCCAGCAAAAATCCCGTCTCTAATTCTTATCAGTAGAAATGCAGGCAAGCGGGGAGGAAAGGGGGGGAGAAAGTTAGACAGTGCAAAAAAGGGAGAGACTGCAGGCATGAAGATTAACCATGTGAGTGCTGTAAAGTAACAAGACAGAAGGACAGAGACTTATACGTTTGGAAACCAGAAATCTTTGACGGGAGAAACGGACTGGAGGTGCAGGGAGCTGCAGAGAGAGGATGAGGGTGACGAGATCTGTAGGACTGATGGGGGGGGGAGAATAGGGATCCATCAGCATCCAGTAACACAATTATTATAATACACAAACAATCTTAAACCTTTGTGATCAATATCTTCCTCAACCTATCCCTTTTGCTGAATAGCTCTTGCTACTCGGTATCAGGCTTCTGCTGTACAAACCAAATCTTGGTCCGACAGCTTCTCTTTCTTCTCTGTCAGTAACTTACGCCAGCTCTCTGGCTACAATCTGCCGCACAGAGGTACGGTAATTCCACATACTTTAGCAATCTTCCTCACTTTCTTAACCATCTCTTCTCCTTCTCTGTCTTCCACTAGATCACATGCTAACCAACCCTCACTGGGTTTATCTAACTTCTGTCCCATCCTCCCTATATAAGGCGTCCCAGATATAGAGAGAGAAAGGAACAGAACGTCTACCGTGCTCGACTGCTACTTTAAGAGCAAGCTCTTTAAGTACGTCTTCCCAAAACGTAGACTAGTCACTGATTCCGCCTACCCGTGGTAGCCGCGGATTGGAGCGTGGCGAGAAGTGTGTGACCAATCACTCCTCTCAACAGAGAAAGAGAAATAGGAGGGGAAAGTGTAAATAGTACAGTGAGTAAGATAGAAGTAAACACAGGAATCTGTGTGACAGACAATTAAGACAATAACATTTCAGTGTAAATACAGTGCATGCATCACAGTTCAAATAAGTTCAACAGTTTTATCCCTTGCCTTTACTCGTGTGGCCAAAAGCCACCTCCCTCAACCTCGTAGTGTCCCTGTTGCGGACCCACCCGCAAGTCTCACTACCAGCAGCCACAGGAAACAGCAACAGCTTCCAACCCGAATCCTGTATAGCCTAAAGAATTGGAATCTTACCTGCCTCAGCGCTCGAGGCTGGAATTTTACCAAGAAGCTAAGCGGTCAAAATGACACTCTGGGGAACCCCCAGGAAGCAATGAGTCTACATCATCCTCCACAGATTCCCCCTACTCTTTTTCCTTACAGCCACAGCCACGTGGCTCCTAAAAGAGTTAAACAGGCAATAGAGGACCCCCAGGAAAACTTCCACAGGTCCACCCCCCTTTTTCCTTACTACCACAGGCATGTGGTACCTAAAAGGAGTTAAACAGGCACTTACACTCCCCGGGTAGACTAAGTTAAACACATACCAATACAAACACACCCAGGCAACAGATAGTCAACATGCAGGTAAATTAAGTATCATTAACAATACAAAGACTCTGGGCAAGTTATTACCTGACTTTGATGTCCTCTCGGCAGCAGTCACAGACACTGGAACAGGTCAATCACAGGGGTAGGAACATACCGGCTAGGTGCTGCAGCAATCTCTACCGTGTACTCAGAGGTGATCAGGCTCTTTTCCTTCCCCCAGGATTCACCCCCCCAGCATCTTCTTGGACAGCTGCCCAGACAGGACATAGCCCAGAGCCCCACGTTGGAAGCGCCAATTTGTCGTAAGATAATTTACTGCAAACCAATTAGTTTGAATGACTATCTGTTCCTGTCCAAATTAAAGATAATAAAGTTGCGTGCACGCAGAAGTAAATTCACACTGAGACACAAGGTTCAGGTTAATGAAAGAACTCCGGAGAAGTTTAATGGCTTCTGACAGAAAATGGGTGCGCAGACCCTTATAAAGGCATTATTACATCATTGAAGAAAATCAAGATATAGACAAATAGACATTGTTAATTGGCTTAGGTGCTAAGATGTTAGTAAAATGCCCTCCCCATTCTTAGGTCACTATCTACGTAATTTCTTAACTCCTACAGGTTTTAGCGCCATTTTGTTAACATGAGGAGTTCACTTGACGGGAGGGGCCTTTTGGCAGCTATCCATTTAGAGCGTAGCTGGCACTTGTTAGTTTCTCAAGGTTAAGTTTCAAGGATTTTAGTAAATACACATTTTATCAAAGCTATTTCTTGCTGACATGCAAATTCTATGTTCTATAGACAAAGCTTCCTTGTAAAACTATGGGGGCCTCTTAGAGGTATAGTAAGAGGATTTAAAGGGGCCTTACAGATTTATAGAGGCCTAATAATTCTACAACAATGGTGGTGGGAGATAGATGGAGAAGTTGACCATTAGCTGCCATCAGATATTGTGTTTTTTTTTTATAAAACCACTGACTGATACAACCTCAACACAATCTTCCAGACACACCCACATGTATACTCTCACATTCCCTCACATACACACTTTGCTAAACTTCCTTACATACTCACACACACACACACACACACAAACACATATAAACAGACTGCCACCTAAACAGATACACACTCCAAAAGCACACACAGACGCACACCACACAGATACACACTGTCAAATACACACTCTCAGAAATACGCTTTACCAGACACAGTTTCAAATACACACCCATTTACCCCACTGATGGCAGCCCTGGAGATGTAAGAGAGTGGATCTGATGCCCACTGTTGATAGGAGATGGGATGGATGATGGTTAATGGTGAATGAATAGAGTGGGGGTGATGTCCAGGGGTGATTGTTATCAACATAAGCATCACCCTCTCCATCTCCCATTACCATTAGTCATTGCTCTCTCTCATCATCATTAGTGATCATGACCCTCCCTCTTAGATTACTATTGGCCATCGCCTACTCCCATTAGAGGTCAATGTAAGCACCATCACAACTTTGCATCATTGCAAAGTTGATGGTTAATAAATTATCCTGTACTTGCTCTCAGGTGTGAGAGTGGCTTAGAACTGTAGTGATTTGTAAACATCACCCAGCTATAAGCCGGCCTTGTCTACAGAAACACAAGTAAAGGATTCATAATGCCAGCATTTAAATAAAGAAGGAGTTTATTACCCCAGCATGTGAACTCTGCAACATTTCAACCCATGGAAAAGATGTCTGTCAAGCCAGACTTGACAAACACTCCATCTGCGTGTCGAAATGTTGCTGGGTCCACATGCTGGTGAATGAATTCCTTCTTTATTTAATTGCTGGTGTTGTGACTCCATTACTTGCTTCCTCCTAACCATCATTACTTATGTGCAGGCACTCCTTATTTGTTTTTTTCCTTAGAACCGTCAGACAAAATCAATATCAGTAAACTGGAATTGAGAGTTCCAGCTATCTGATATCAATTTCTTCCCCATCGCCGCACGCACAACTTGAACTGAGCTCTATCTCCTACTGAGAGCCGAGCTGCAGACCGCACATCAGCTCCACTGATTGCTGCATGCAGAATTTATAATGGTACTTTGCCATGAACAGACCATGACTCCGTCCATTGCTGCACTCGGCAATCTTCATGCAGGTGGGAGAGAGAGGGGGTGATCAAAACTGCCATCAGAACGTATACAACACCACTGATGGGACCTGCCTCCACACATTCTCCCAGACACATAGATATATAGCCTCCCATGAACACACACACTTACATACATATTCACAGACACACAAATACAGTTACACAATTTGATACACACACAGAATTACACACTAGAGACAAATACTTACTATGAAACACATGCAACCACAAATACATACTGCAAGGCACAGAGATACACACTGCCACATCACACACAGATACACAGACACTGCCAGAGACACATTCATATAAATACTGGCAGATACACACTATTACACACAAATACACACAGTCAGACACCCACTGATGGCAGCCCTGGAGATGTCTAATTAAACTGTGAGAGAAAGGGTCTGATGTCAAATGGTGATGGGAGAAATGAGAGGTGCTGTCTAATGGTGATCGGAGAGGGAGGGGGTGATGCTCACTGATGATTATTATCAAAACATGTATCACCCCCTCCTCCTACCACCATTAGACTTCACCCTCTCCCATTATCATTAATCAACACCCCTACCTCTCACATCACTACTGACCATCACCAACTCCTTCACCTACCCTCATTAATGGTTCAGTCTAAGCACCATCACAACTTTGCACCG